TTTTTTTTTTTTTTTTTTTTTTTTTTTTTTTTTTTTTTTTTCCTGTTACTTCGTTTTACGCCCCTGCGAGACGATAATTGATTACTTTATTAACATGGCGAGCTATTTCTATGTAGAAACGGCTTGTATGTTTATGGCCGTGGGAGACGTGTCTCGCGTTATTTTAAATCTTCGCGCTATTTTTGGCTGAGTGAAGATGATGGATGAGTTGTTGGAACCTTTTATGGATACTCAGGATATTTTCTAGCGCTATAAAAAAAAAAAAAAAAATTAAAACCATGAGAAATCTAGAGACCTGAACTTTAGCATAAAAAATCTGATTGTAGTATTGACCCTTTGGTTCAGAAAGTTTAAGCGCAAAAAAAGCTTTTGGGGCACTTTGACGCCATTTACTCGGCTAGTCCCTTTTATCGAGATAAACACACACGTTTCTAAAAAATGAATAAAATTGTAAGAAAATATTTCATATGCATTCATTTTTTAAAACCATATTTTTACCTTACCTCAAAGTCTGATGACAAAATGTTATGAATGAAAATGCTCCAAGTCTCACGAAATAATGAACTCAGCAATTGTAGACATTGTTATTTAAAGTTTGCTCGACAAAACCCGGAAATTTATTATTTTTCCCAGTTTTCATAGCATGAAGACACTACAACACACTATTTCAATTGTCAAGTGACGGAGTGCGTGACACCACTCTTGTTTGGACAAAAAAGAAGAGGCAAAAAAAAAAAAAAAAAAAATAGAAGAAAAAGCCTTTATTACGCTAAACCTTGTAAATTGTTGACATAGCTCTCGAGCTTGGAGCAAGTCAAGAGTAAAAACAAAAGGGACGCATGCAAGGGTGAAGGAGCGAGGGAGAGGGCAGGGGCGTCAAGAAAGCTCGCGAGAAAAGACAAGTAGGCTGAAAGGGAAAGGCGGAGAGGTGAGAGAAGAGGCAAGGAGAGCGGACCGAAAAGAAGAGGCTGAGACGACGCAGGGAGAATAATGTGCATCAGACAAGCACTGCACGGTGCATACAGTCACCTATACTCGCAAATATAAGCCGGAAACGGTAGCAGCTTCCATACCTTATGAGATCGAGTATGGTGTCCTCGTGTCGGGGCACGATGAACTCGTCGAGGTCGAGCAGAGCGAGGTACTCGTAGTCATACATCGACCGGTAGAGGCAGTCGTTGAGCGCCGCGAAGAGGCCCTCGGTGCGTATTTCGCGCTGCGATATCATGTCCAGGTGGTGCCAGGGCAGCACGGTGACGATGCCTTGGGCCTCGTAGTACCTGAGCGCGCAGCTCGCCTCCTCGCCCAGCGTGTCGTTGTAAAGGGTTACGTGGCTTGCACCCAGTATCCTGTGCAGCTCAATAAACTCGACCAGTTGCAGCACCTGCGACATGGAGAGTTGGGAAACTGTTACGATCGGTTTTATTTTGTTTAAGTAGTACTTCTTCGCCCGAGGAGCGATCATCACACTCCATTCAAAGCGAAGCTAATAAACATAAGGGCCCGTTTATTGAGGGAATAATCGTGCACCTGAGAGTTTTATTAAGCTTTTTTAGTCTGAAGTAAAAAATTGCCGAAATCAAGAATAAAAATTTAATTTCACACCACCAGTTGCAAGAAAATTTTAGTTAAGACCAAGGTTTTAAAGTCTTGGTAGCCAAATAAAAATTATATTCCAAGATCTGAGTAATTTATGGCAATTTTGAAGGAAAAATGCACAAAATTTCTTGCCTTAACAATAATTTTATCAATGTTTTCGATTATTATACATTCTTGAGCCAAACACCAAAAATAGGACCAAACATAAGGGGCTAAGAATTTGTTCGCCATCGGCCTATAAATATTGATTTCGAAAGCCAAGTCGTTTACCACTATTACCTCCAAATCATACCTCTCGAAACTAGTTCACCGACCCAACAAAGCCCCGCAACGACCCTTGCAACATAGCAAACATCAACTCTCAAAACAATAAGGTATGAAACTTCCTGGCGCAACTTAGCCTCCTTATTAATGTCCGTGGGGAAGGCTACGCCACTGATAAAAAGATGGCACGAGCTTACCCTATTGTAGTCGTAATGGAGCGGCTTGACGCAGATTGCGAGGGGCTTCCGTTCCTTGGGCCGATTGGCCGGCCTGTTACGGACGAGCATGCGGTTCGTCGGTGCGACTGTCAGCCGGGCCACAATGCTCACAGCCTCCGGTACTCGGTCGGCTGCCTTGGAAGGGAGCTCCTTGGGCAGAGGACATATCACGAAACAGGCGCTGTACTTCAGGTTCCAGTTCTCTCGTATGACCTAGTGGTTTGGGTTGCGTTTTACTTTTTCTAGTTTTTGTTGGACATTTCTTTTTTTTTTCTTTTACATGTGCGCCGATTGGGAAATTATGTCAAGCTGGAGACGCAACGTACTTTAACTAGATCTTATATCGTTTGTCAACCATAAAACTGTCGACTTCTACTGTCTTTCTTCAAAAGAGTCTTTTCTATTTTCATACGTTTCATTTTATTTCCATAAAAACAAACATTTATTCACTGCAGCTAGTTTAAAAAAATAGTCTTTTTAATCTTATTTTAATTATTTTTAACTACATGAAAGACTAACGGCTCCCAAATTTGCTTTTCTTCTAATATATAGACGTAACGTGTCTGACTAAAATCGATTGTTTCTGCTTGACATTTATACTTTGATGCAAACTACCTCTAACTAGCGTTAATTAATATTTCATTAGAACATTTACTTGCTCAATCGCTTACTGCAGTCAAGGACTATTTTAAATTAGGATTATTATCAATCCATAATAATTTTAAAGTATTCAATGAGAAATTAGTTACTAGTTTTATAAGTAGAAATATTTTTATTAAGCTCCGTATTCCGTACTCACTTAAGATTTGCTAAAATAGTATATTACGTACCAAGGGACTAAAGCAAGCCAGTTCGTGGCTGTTGTAGTGTGCGCGCGAGCGTAGCGAGGGCGCTACAAGCAATAGCCACTCGCTGGCTTGCTTTAGTCTCGCGGTGCGTATACACTTTTATATCACACTCAGTGGAAAGTTCGTTACATTGAGAGGGAGAGAGATGGAAGGAAAGTTAGCCATTCATTGTGTGGTTATAGGTTATATCACAAGAGTTTTTATAATTTTTTCCGATTGTGATATTTAGGATATTCCTGTATTTTTGTATAAAATGTGTCAGCAGTTTCGACAGTCATGTTTGAAGAGGATTCTTCTGACGAAGAAAACTTTGACGAGGATAAAGTAGGGGAAGGAAGAGACTTTGACTGTGAACGAAATGCCATTGTTCAAAATTTACTTCCCATAAAATCGAGAGCATTGTATGAATATGCATACGCTCGATTCTTACAATGGAAGCATAAGAACAAGGACCTAATTATTTAACTATTTTTAATGAATGTGTTTCGAAATGTAATAAATTCAATAGTTTATTATACAAGATGGATAAAAATGAAGAACTGTAAAAATGCAGTTGTTATTTAAAAATGTGTGAACAAAGAAAATTGTATAACAATTTTAATTATTTCCATTTGTTCAGAATCTCATGTTTTTTTTTTGTATAAAATACACCAGCAAACAGTACATTGGCTTCTTTTATCTTGTTGATGTTTCCCAAATTTGTTTGTTTACTGCAGTGTGGCGCCCTCGCTATGTTCGAGCACCGAACTACTTCAGGCACTTATTGGTTTATGTATATAGTAATATACAGTAAGATATAGATACGCATGCGTACACGCACTTATTACACAGTTTCTGTCCCTGTATACAGGGAGAACAGTACGAACTTTACGCTTAGTGTGATATAAAAAAAATTATCTACAGCAGCTAGTGTAAAAAAAGGCATTTAAATTTCATTTTAATTATATTAAACTATATGAAAGACAGACGGCTTACAAGTGTGCCTTTTTTCTAATACCTAGACGTAACGCGTCTGACTAAAATCGATTGTTTCTACTTGACAATTATACTTTGATGCAAATTACCTTTAACTAGCTTTGATTAATATTTTATTAGAACATTTACTTGCTCAATCGCTTACTGCAGTCATGGATTATTGTAAATTAAGATTATTGTCAGTCCAAAGATTTTAAAGTATTCAATGAGAAATTAGTTACAAGTTTTATAAGCAGAAATATTTTTATTCTGTTCCGTATTCCGTACTCACTTAAGATTTACTAAAAAATACAGCGGCTAGTGTAAAAAAAAAAACTTAAATCTTATTGTAATTATTTTAAACTATATAAAAGACAGACGGCTCACAAGTGTGCCTTTTTTCTAATACCTAGACGTAACGTGTCTGACTAAAATCGATGGTTTCTACTTGACATTTATACTTTGATGCAAATTACCTCTAACTAGCTTTGATTAATATTTTATTATAATATTTACATGCTCAATCGCTTACTACAGTCAAGGATTATTGTAAATTAGGATTATTGTCAGCCCATAAAGATTTTAAAGTATTCAATGAGAAATTAGTTACAAGTTTTATAAGCAGAAATATTTTTATTCAGTTCCGTATTCCATACTCACTTAAAATTTGCAAAAAAAAAAAATTTCCCAAAACTTACCTTAACTTTCGCTGCTACGGTAATCGAAGTGGTAATGTTGTCCGAATCCTTGATCAAATACCACAGCCTACACCAGACCCTCTCGGGTCCTCTCGTCTTCGTAGCACCAATAACTCTGACCACACCTGGGCCGCCTGGATTACGACTTGCACCGACACCACTACCCACCCTCTCGTCATAGTACGCTGAATATACAAAAAATTTGAATCTGAAACATATTAGACATATTTTTTCTTTTTTTTTTTTTTTTGCAAAAGTCATTGTAGTAGTAAATTTTGTTTTTATAAAATACTCTTTTTTTCTTGCAAGATGCACTTAGTGCATTTATTCATGGTTCATAGTCTAAGTTTTTCTTTTACAGATTAATCAATTTTTCTTCATTGATAATTTTTCTTAAAATATAATGTGAAACGATTTTTTGAACCATCTAAATTTTCGTTGAGAGTAAAAAACGCTGACAGGTCTAGGACAACTTTTTCTGTTTTTCGTACATTTGTACATTGTATTTGACAGTATTGCATACAGATTCATAAAATAAAATCTTTTCAAGAATCAAAGTGAGCTCGAATCCCACTATAACTCAAATTGAGTAAGAGCATTATTTTCAAGTAACAATTGGGGAAACTTGATGGAACTAGTAGAAACACACCCTATATTTGATGCTTTAAACTTTTTTAATCAAATTTTACAAATTATATATACCTTGCAAACGAGTAAAGTTAACTGAAAAAAAAATTCATATGATTTACCAAAAATGTTTGTTGATTTACATTCGATTCCAATGTCCATGACATTTAAAGAGGCAAAAATAAGACTGTACGATAAAAACTTGGAGGTGGTGCAAGAATCATATTTTTTTCAAGTTCGTGCTTTGTAAATACGTTAGAAAAGTATAGGCTTTCATAAGCTGCCACAAATAAATTATTTATCAGAGATAAAGAGTATACTAATTTGATGTATAATGTAGTACAACGTTTGAGGAAAAATCAAACTAGACGTGACATTTTATGTGAAGCGTATTTTTCAAGTTTGGCATTAAAAAGTTGAAATTCATAACGTGTCAGTTTCAACAGTTTTTTTAAATAAATCATTCGCAAGAATACCAATGGAAATTAAAATGAACGATGGAATAAAAAGAGTTTTTCCGTGATAAAATAAATCTGCCGTAATCTGGTGCATTTAAAAATATCGTACGTTTCGCAAAATTCAGATATCAAAAAGATTATCGCAAGTTGAGTGACGCCTGTTTCATATTATTAAAAGTAAATATCGTCAGTGCTTCGCAGAATATACTATGTTAATTTGTGCGATTAACGTTGACGCAACTTTCACGAAAATTTCCATTTCAAAATGTATTTACGCATCCATACATTCAACAGAGATGATGGAAAAGGCGTACACACCATGATTATTATTACTAATTTTTTTTTTTAATTAAAAATGATACATCAGTTTTACAGAATTGCGTCAATTTACCATTCTACTCATGCAGAAACATTTTTTGGTTTTAATCGTGTCAGGACTCTGAACAACTGGGACTACTAAAATTGTTAGGAACATCACAACGGGTACCAAACTCGAGCAAACTAGTGCTAGTCATAAACATTATCAGTACATTATATTATATCTACTCATTCTTAATAATATTTTCAGCTTTTTATCAAAAATAGTATAAGACCTATTATTCTCGAGGAATCTTTAGACCAGTTAACTTCTTTGCTGTCCTTTTACAGTCAGTCGTTAGGGTGTTCAGTTATACCTAGTTTGTTTTTCGATTAGTCGCTATCAAGTTTCCGTATCCACTCGATTGCGTGATGTTACATGTCATGAAGTACAGTGATTAGGTGTATGAGGTAAAGTAAAATTTTCCAACTTAAGTATTGTCTTTGAATCCAAGATGATAAATTATTTTTTACAGTTTCTGTTTCAAAGGGGCTTTAATTAATAACAAAGGTTTGAATAAAAAAAAAAGGTTAAGAGTGAGCCAAACACCGTAACTGTTACTTACTTTCAGTACCTTGTAGCAAATATGCTATCTAATGGTCATTAATTCATTTCATATGATTCAAAGTAAATTGTCACATGATGTATCTCGTAGTGGAAAGATATAAAAAATGGATCAACGATCAATCTTGAAAAGTAAATGTTCATAACCTCATGCAATTCATTTATTGCGTGAAATAGTCATAGCTTCCGAAGGACAATATTCAAAGGAAAATTTAATGCACCTAAAATTATTTATCACTTGTTGTTTCGTCTAAAAACATTGAGGATTGAATTGAACCCAAAAATAATGGTGTCGATAGTATCACGTATCATATCGACTACCATCAACTGTTGTTGGATAAACATATAAGCAAGTACTCAATCATTAACAATTAATTAATCTAGTGCATGGTCATTAACTATGACTGGCACTGACCCAACTATTAACAAATATTTGTTGTTAATCAAAAGTCTTGAATCATGGATGATAAACCATTAATTTATCAAAACGAGTAATTCTTTCTGTAAGTGCATCATCAATTAATCCTGCAATTTTATTTCAGTCCTAATTGAAATTTAACAACAATCACGTGCAAGAACTTCTCACACAACCCTACAATAATTGATCATTAGTCATTAAATCCTAGTTGCAATCAACACTAATCAATGGTCATCAGAGATTCCCGTATTCCACCTCTCGATTCTAACACCTTTGCAATCAGAATTCCACAAAAGCGGATCAAAGGATATTGTAACCGTGACATCGAGAAATAACGCAATTCACTTTCATTCCGTGCCTCACAAACGATTTTCAGCATAACGAAAAAAAGCGGATGATTATACCCTGATAATCCTTCGGATCATTACAGTAAGACCCACGTGTGCGGTCGAGCTCGTACAGCGCACTCGAAAGCTAGCACAACTTTGGCACGGAATCATGTGTGTGAGTTGTATCAACGAACGGTGTGTCAGTGTGTACCACCCAATGGTCAAACCAAAAGGAAAAAATTCAACTCCGATACGAATTCTCTCTATTAACGAAGAAAAACTTATTTCCTCTTCTCCCATCTGATTCCCGAGAGCTAACGACCACGCGATCAAAGCGCCAACTAGATCGCCGGTAAATCAATGGAACCACTCGCCGTTTTTTCTCCCACCGTCATACAGTGCGGATAGCTCTGCCCACGAGCGTGTGAGGGTGCACCCAGCGAGATCAATTTCTCCTCGCTTCCGACTTTTTCTTCTTCGCTCGGTGCAGAACTTGCAACGCGATTACGTACCACTCCCGACTTTTTCATTTTCATCCCTCGAGTTTCGTGCGCGCATTTCTTTTATTTTCACCACCCAATGGCTGTTCACACGGAATTCTTGCACCGCACGGTCAGCCGAGGGTATGACTGACCGGGGGATGATGAGCCAATTTTTTTCGTTTGTTTGATCGATCGCGGGTCTGCGCTTTAATCTACTTTTGAAATTTAGCTATGTGCCGAGCGTATGATTACTGTGGCAAACGAAAAAGAGCCCGTGTACGTGTGAGCCGCTCGAGGATTGATTTGAAACCCTCCTGCGACAGACATTATCCGGGTGGAAAGGTACTTTTTACATTCCGAAGTACACTGGTGCTTTAACATGTGTTTGGATACTTAACAGAATACCAACGTACATTATGACCATGTGTAGCTACATCACTCGATTACTGCATATTATTACATCACATCACTTAGTACAAATAGAACTGGTATTTCAATTTGAGTACGTTCCATCTGTTACTTTATAAGTTATAGTATTATTAGTGACGTTAATTTTTTAACTTTCACAACAGTTGGAGCATCTAAATTTCATATGTTTACAGTTCAGCGTTGCTTTTTAATTGGATGATGTACCGTTCAAACAAGGCAAAAGTTTGACAGAATTTGAACTCTGCTCCTTTGGGACGAATAATACAGAAGTGGTTTACTCATTTTAAATGCAAAAAAGGATATTAAAAAGGGTACTAAATCATTTTGAAAGACCATAAAATAAAGTTGCTTGAGATATCTGACACCTTGAAGACAAGAGAAGATAGTGTTTTTACTATTTTGTGTAAACGTTTGCTCACGAGAAAACTCTGTTCCAACATTGTACCATCTGCTATACTATTTACAGAAAACATCAACGTAATCATGATTCAAAGCGTACAGTAGTTAAGGCAAAATGAAAAAGATTTTTTCATGTGACACATATGTGACAATGGATGATTAATAAATCAGTTACCACGTTGTCTAAATGGACCGAAAATGGCAAAAGAACTCCAAAGTATTCAAAAATGAGATGCACATGGTATAATGTTCATCAACTCTCTTGAAAACGAGAGATGAATACCATACAGCATTTTACCAGTGCGTTTGAAGGACAAAGTTTTAAAAAAATGGTGCCAACTAAGGAAGAATAATAAGCTCTGTTTCACCAAACCTATATGCTGTGTCTTAAGTCAACCATGACGCGTAAGCGACATCTTCCTGATTTAGCCTCCGGTACTTATTACCTCTTTGTAAGTTTTTAAAAATGTCTCCCTTAAATGAGGAATTCATCACCGAAATTGAAGCATATTGATGAATTAATTGATGAACGAGGTCGTAATGTTCCCTAAAAATTTGTTCTAATATACAGGTTGACACAAGTTTTGAAAAAAAAAAAAAAAATTGACTTTTGATTAACCATCTGTGATCGATGCACCTGAAGAAGTTGTTAAATCAACTTTGATGCATCGTTAGAATATTTTTCGCCATTCCACACCATTGTCTCAAAAATACAACGAGGTAGGTATAAAATTGATGAATGGGCTTACCTAGTTTTGGTGACGGGCAGCCACTCGGCGTGCGTGAGCCTCAGAGCCTGATCGAGCAGCGGCAGTTGCGGCAAACTCGGCGAGCCATGGTGATCGGAAGGTATCACTGACATGGGACCCCCGGCGACCGGCTCCTCCCCTCGAATCAGCATGTTAAGGTGCTCTTCTAAGCCACCCTTTAGGCTTGGGTAGTCTTCCGGCTGTAAAAAAATTAAGGAAATGGAGTCGATTAGATTTTTTGGTTAGACTTTTTTTCCGTAGACGGCTGTCTGACTTGGTTTAGGACATTCGTGACTTACCAGTGGAAAGGTTCACTGGCAGAGATGAGTAGTCATCTCTGTCACTAGTGATGGTAGTGGTAGTAAGAATCTTACAAAAATAATTTAATGTTCCATTGAACTGCTGCTCAATTAGTGAGATGTTGGCTTCGGGACGTAAAAGAAAGAAAAAAAATTGTTTTTCTAGTTCTAACGTTATACTTTACGTAGACATCCTTCGTCAGATATATTATGATATAAGCATATCTTGAAATACATCTTTTTATTTTTTTTTTTTTTTCATAAAGTTTAAGGTTGGAAACAAAATTATTGTCCCGTTGAAAGTGCTGGCCTTTTGGTAATTTATGTTGTGACTCTAGTTGGGCCTTTTTAATTTGCAACCAAGTACTTGAAAGAGTTTTTTTGCCTTCAAGACACGATGCCTAATTGATACTGCTCTGACGGTGAGCATGAAACCTCGGACTCCGGTACCGTTGGTTTTTTTCTATTTAGTTGGTATGGTCAGCTTTGTACTGAAAGTGTCAGGAACCGAACCTGTCACTTGTCTTGATTCCAACAACTTTGGAGGACGTCGGAAACTTTTACCATGACACAGTAAATAATAGTACAGTATCACACCAGAGAGTTGACGATTCTTTTTCAATAGAAAAATTCACGTTTCACGGTAGGTTCAGTAAAAATATTATACACTTGACGGAACGAGAAATAGAACATTCCAAACATATGTTGTAACCACGGCCTTTTGGATACGTCAAAATGCATTGATGTTATGTATGCTCCAAATAATCCTTTATTATTATATCGATTAATATGAATGGGAACAACATATTCTAAGAATAATATTTAATAATCAGTTTCTATTATTGATAAATTTAAATAACTGTGTGGATTCATGTCGTTGAATAAATAAAAAATTTTAAAACCACCAAACGAGATATAAAAATGAGTATAAAAACGAGAAATCAATATTTATACATGGTAGAATTTGCTAAAAATCATATCGATATCCCGAAAATTCTTGCCAGCTCCAAAAAAAGGGTAGTAGTTTCAATTGACGTATAATTTAAAAAGTATAAATGTCAGCAAAAGCTCCAAAAAATGGCAAAAATAGCTAAAACAAGTTTTTTACTCCTAGAAGAAAACTGCATAATGGTACATAAAAAAGTGTTGGTAAAAAAGATGCGCAATTTTAATACAAACAAAATAAACCACGTTGGTTTTAAATCAGTAGAGCTGTTTTTTCGCAAATTGCAAAAAACTGTTATTTTGAGACATTTTTTTGAAACTCCATAACTCGCGCTCTATACATTACTTAGAGCTGAAATTTGGTCGCAAGGTAGATATTATTGCTCTTAACATATACACAATCGTTTAGCTTGATCGGTCTTTAAACTTTTCGCGAACCACAGTAAAAACCGAAAAAAGGTCCTCTCCAAAAATAGTCATAAAAAATGGTGTTAGCTGACATAGGTACATTTTTCAAACGTATTTCTCTTCGTCTACATTTGCTCTAAAAGTACTTAAAACGCCGTTTGTTTTTACTGACTAGTAGCCTCCAGCGGTGGCTTGGCAACCCATCGATACCACTGGCTGCAGCACAAAAAGCCGTTTTTTGCAATCGATCTTTAAAATAATTCTAATTGGTAAACACAAATGGCGTTTTAAGAACTTGTAGAGTAAAGATAGAAGAAGAGAAATAAGTTTAAAAAATATACGGACGTTGTCTAACAACTTTTTATGACCATTTTTGGAGAGGATTTTTTTTCGATTTTTGCTGTAGTTCACAAAAGTTTTTAAATCAATCGAGCTGAAATTTCGTGTGTATGTTGAGAACTATCTTTATATCTACCTTCATTATATCTACCTTGTGACCAAATTTCAGCTCTAAATATTGTATACAACGCGAGTTATAGAGCTTCGAAAAAATGGCTCAAATTGGCAGTTTTTTGCGATTTGTGAGAAAATGGCTGAATCGACTTAAACCTAACCCGGCTCATTACGTTCGTATAAAAATTTTGCATCTTTTTTACCGAATACTTTTTTATGTGCGATTTTTTAGTTTGCTTCTGGATGCGAAAAACATATTTAGGCCATTTTTACCGTTTCTTGGGGGCTTTTACTGACATTTATAGTTTTTAAATTCTGTGTCAATTCATTACCAAGTATTAAATCTACTCCCTTGTTTTATTTCGAGCTGGTCAGAACTTTCGCAGCCGGAAAACTAATTCTATCATAATAATTGGTATATATGTGCATGTGTCTTCTCGGTGTATCTTACTTTATATAATTTTTTTTGTATGAAAACACAAAAATTTATCACTTTTATGTAATGACGTTACATACCTTCAATTTTTAGATCTTATGCACTGCATATTTGTACATGAAAAAATAAGAAACAAGTGCATAATACTTTTTAATCTTCTGCGTCACAGTCCAATTAAAATAAAAATTATTTTTCAGTGACATATCCACCGTGTAAAAACTCATAGCGAGAAACACTATGATTTTAATTCCAATGGTCAGGCAAAGACAATAGTTTTAAATTATTCATTGAATCCTCCGAACATTCAATAGAAAAAAACACGGCATATGGCTCAGAATAAAGTGCTCTCCAGTGCCAGGTATATTTTTCCACTGATTTCTTTCATCTTAAATAACTTCTTTTCGAGGTACTATTCAGACTTTTCTCGAATTCTTCGTACTTTCTAAGAAACTGCACACGTACATATTATATACGCTGTCGACTTGAATGAGCCCCAGCCTTTGGAACTCGAGCAGCTCAAGGTAGCTAGCCTGAAAGAACTGGCACGAGGAAGCCAGCGAGTCTTCTCCCGATTCAAAAGGGACAGAAATAAAACAGGACTTAATTTATAGCTCGAGAAAAATCACTTTATCTTTCCTTGAAAAGTTCGAGCCTGAAATGTTTAAAACAAAATATCAAATGAATTTTTTTTTAATACCAAGTTAAGTTTATTTCTTATTAACATATGTATGGGACGTAAAATTAAGTTCGTATTTTTTAAAATTCTGATGACTTTCTTGATAACAATAAACATATTTAAATATTAATATATGAGAGTAAATCCATAAAAACATCCTGTTTTTGTCGCTGTTTTTGCAATTCAAAATTTTTTCTCAGGCTTTTTCCCTAATTTACATATTTGGTTTGAATCTATATAGATGATATGTATGGATATAATAATCATGTATAAATTGTAGAGAGAAACAGTATCATCTTCATTGAAGCTAATTTTCATGATTTTTATAACATTGTGAGTAAAATATACCTGATTGCAAAAAAACCTCAAAAAAATTTTTTATATTAAAAATCGGGGATGAAAACGGAACATTTGTTATAGGTTTTTTCATATATACATTCTACGATGCATTAATTTTTACACCTGCTTTTCAAGTACAAGTGTTGTGCTTTTGTTTTTTTAAACAAGTGAGTTTTCTCCAAGAATGATATAATTTTTGCTTTTGTTTTTTCACTTAAAAAAAATAAAAACTATGATAACATTTATTTTTTCAGTAGAAATTTTGTAACGATGACAGTGAAAATGAAAAAAAAAAAAAAAAAAAAAAAAAGAAAAAAAACAGCTTCCTGGTACTAAAAAACACTTCTTCTGTATACTTCCGAAAGCTAAATGAGTAGAACTTGGTAGTTTGGGTGTTTTGTTTAAATTTCTTTTTTATCTCCTGGTCTACATTAACTGATAATTCTATAAATCCTTAAGTTGACAAAGGCTTTTAGTACCTAACATAACAATTTGTTTTTCATGAAAATCGAACGTAATATCCAGAAATGAGATTTCATCGAAACTTTTCTATTTATTTTTTACCAAGTAAGACTGAATTTAAAGTATAGTTTATGTCTACCAACCCAATCTTTAATATAGAAAATGTATGATCGGATCAGTGCGTGATTTGTGAACGTAAAACGAGCAACCAGAGTATAAATTTTGTATTCAAGTGATCGTATCTGTTGTGTACGATCTTAGTTTTAATTTCCATCACTTGCACTCAGACAAGCATCAGGCATACAAAATTTCCATTCACCAAAAGTCAACTCCCCAAAAGGAACGAAAATCCAATTACCGCAATGAACTACGCGAAAAACCTTCATCCGTGTAATACCAAATTTTTCCACCCACTCGGCGGGCATCACTGGAATTCCCAAACTTAATACTCTCGGCTCGGAAGAATCCCCATCGATACGCGCAAAAGCTAAAAGCAAAGAAGCACCGTCCTCTGCTTCGCCCCAAACCCGCGCACACATTCCAGCACCCATACTCGCTCCACCTCCTCCCCGAAAGGACTCTAACGAGGAATTAAAAAAAAGAGGAGGAATAATAAAAGCCGAACACGAGAGCGAAATTGGAACCAAGTCTGGCTTTCTCGGGGGGTGAGAGAGCGAAAGAGGGAGCCATCGAGTGGCCTGTAATTGCGTTAGCTTCCGGCAACGACTTTAGTCCCCCGACACACTCGCTCCCGAATTCCACTCCGAACTCCCGTGTAACACGCTTTCACTCCCCCCCCCCCTGATCCTCTACTGGCTTTTAACATCCCTCTCGGTGCAACTAGCCGAAGGGTGTCGCTACTTTTTGTCTCTCCTCGTGTAGGTGGCTGCATCCTTTTTTTTCGTTGACGTCGTTACCCCCACCCAACTCCTCTCAGCCTCGTTTCGTTTTCCCTACTAGCTGTTTTGTCAACGCACGGGTCCTTATATGTTCTTGCATTGTCTACCTGTCGTGTGTCGTCTTGCTACCTTTATCTGGACGGATAGTGGAGAAAACGCTAACGCGGTGCGACGGATCTGTGGGCTCAGGGGACGTCGATGAAAAGCTTTTTTTCACTCCGACATGGGAAATCCAGGGGGGGGGATTTCCGGGAAAGAATGCGCCAGTTTTCCATCGAGTGGA